TTCTGGCCCTAAAACTTGGACTGTTTGACAAATAGAATTACAGATACAGCAAAGTGAGCAAGAGAACAAATATAAAAACCTGAGTGTTGGGGACAAATATGACAGAAGGTAGGAGTGAATGCAGGGAGAAATGCAGGGCAAATGGGAGTGGGGGTTGCATAAATAGCTCAGATATATAGCCTTTACCAGGAAGAACTAAGGCAGCTGGATATTCAGTCTCTGAGTTCAGCATTGACCCACTGCAACTGACCTAATCTTTTCTCAAAACAGAACACCATCACAGCTGAGGCATTCCATTTGCAGGCAGAATGGGCTGCGTTCCATCCTGCAACATTGCCGCTTCTCTGCTAAATCAATCAAGGGCATTGAATGTGTTTTGTCATCAAGAATCAGGAGCAAGACTGGAGGTCAGGGAACTTGAGAAAACCAGGTGCTTCGCTGAGCTGTTGTTTTCCACGCAGGGAGAACAGCCAACTCCGGTCCTTTCCAGAAAAATCTATGCTTAGCTTAAAGGAAACCAAAATAGACACGAAGAATGTTGCTATTGTCTGAGCCTCATGACTCTGTTTTTAGTAAAACCCAAGTCACTCCCCTCTGCAGGTCAGATGTTTTGTTGACAGTGAAGTGAGAAGAGGAAGGAAAAGGAGGTAACAGGGCCGCAGCATCACCTTCAGCTGGGAATGTGAGGCTGCCAGGAAACCAGCAAGTCTGTCTCCCCCTCTCCACCCGTCTAAAAATACGGTGGTATTTATGCGTGTGATTTTCACCTTCTACAGCACACCTTTCGATTTTATTCATGATTTTTTAAAATAATAAGCATGTAGATCGATTAGCAGAAACGAAGTTATTCCCATTTTTAAGAGGGTCCCTGGGTAGCATAGGGACCGTGGTGAAAAGTGCCTCTTACTGAATAAACTTCGCCCACTGTCCACATTTCTTCCTTCAGAAGTGAGGATTTTTGCATAGCCCCAACCTTAAAAAGCCAGCCAAGGAAAACACGGCAAAGACAGACCCGAGAAGGAAATGCATCAAGGAAGGGACTGCCTGAGAGCCCATCACAGAGCTGGGACCTGCACCCCAGCCTCTCCTTCCCACCCTGGGCTGTTTTGCAAAGGGCAGTGAAGAGCCTCTCTGGGACGCCTGGGATGTGGAGCAAGACAAGGGCAAAGCAGCTGGGAGAGCAGGTGTCCAGGCCCAGTCCCCGCTGGGTGGCCTTCCAGCCTGGGCGCCCTAAC